CTATATTATTCTACACATATTTTTCATATAATCTCAAGTTTTTTAGCCTGTTCTAATAGCAATGAGATAACAAACAGTCAAGTTTATAGCAGCAACTTTAATGAAAAGAGTACGGACAGGCAGGGTTAAGTAATAAGACGAAACCAGAAATTTACAAGCCATGACGATTTTTCTCATGACCCTTTAAACAAATGTAGAGCCTAGCGGACGAAGATAATTACGTATTTCTGTACCAGGTTGTTAGACGAAGTATGCTGACGATTTGAGGAGGATCAATATTCGTTTGCAGCTAACTTGACTCACAAATTACTAAATAAAAGATTAAATTTCATGCGGAATAATAGACCATAATGAACTTTAAGTCCCTTATCCATCGGGACACCATATTAAATTGTGAACTGTACTACGTTCTACATTTTTAGCACCTTAGTTTTCAATCTAGCTATGCGCATTTACCGCAGATGCTAGTTCTTCATATTAATAATCGCCAACTACATATTTCAGTGGAGAACAATCGTTGCAACCATATTCTAATTGACGTAGTATGACCTCGTTTTCGCACTTTGGTCGTGTTGTCATGGCGACATAACTGGACACTCCTTGTCGGATGTCCTCTGCTCTCGTAGTCGTCATAATTCCCAGCTTTGCAATGTGCACTTGGTACATTGCCAGACGTTTTGCCGGTTTCGCTAGTGAGTCTTGTCAGTATCAGCACCAAGCACCAAGTTGAGTTTCCGATCCGACTTGGACCTCCTATCAACATCTCTCTCACGGGCCTGTAGATCCGTTTCTCATCATTCCGTTTGACTGATTCCACTCGGTCCACTGCCAGTATACATTTTACTTCAGGTCATAATGCCGCATTTCTGCGACGGCTATGCTAATCAGCCTCCATAGTCACGTGACCTTCTGACCTGCAAAGGTGTAGTTGTTTCTTTGAGCAGAATGCATTCACTCAAAACGTCTTCGCTCCATTCATAAATCCCCCTCTTCCGCTTCTTCCTTGCAATCCCTGTTCCTCTGATTAACCATAGCTCCTTGATACATCATCTTCTTTTTGCTTGTCTTGTCGTATCCTTGTTTTCGCAGAGTCTGTTTCAACAATGGGCAAAGGTATCGCTACTCTGCCTTTTTCCAATCTCCTGTTCATTACATTTCTTTCTGCAAACATGTCACTCGTCTCCCTACTCTTCCGGATCCTTGGGTTTTCACCGTGCCAGGCCCTTCTTTTTCTTGCCTTCCAATTGATCTCGTGTCTAGTCTGTGCGATGTGTCCACTATTTCTCATCGTTCGGTTTCAATTTACCTGCGGGCCTTTAATGTTCCTCCATTCATATGCCAATTTCTCCCAATGTTTCGAAAATATCGCATGTTGCCTGGGTTGCGCAGAGTGTTGTTTTTCCTTCGCGGTCACGTGAATATTCCATTTTATTAATATCTGCCCTAATATTTGCGTTTGCTGACAGGGCGGTTGGCACATCCACTTCCGGCATTTCTCTTCCACACGACCAAAGTGCAAAGTAACCATCCAGACACCACATGAGCACCCTTGGTTGCCACGGTGGCGTCTTGAAATTCTCTTATAATTTGTTCTTTACTACTTTCGCCAAGAGAAGTGAAAGCGTCGATCCCATAGGAAGATGTCCCTGCTGAAAGTGAACAAGGTAGTTCTTATTGTCAAGTTTATTGGTCGTCTTAACGAATCCCTCCTGATCCTCTCTGCTTTCAGGATACCCTCTTCTCGGTACGAAATCCCCAGCAGGGCAGGTGGGAATTTTGTGTGCATTGAGTGTACGTAAAAGCTTACCAACAAGTCAGTTTCTACCAGCGCAATCTTTTTCATTCCTTGGTACAATTACTTTGAATGTTTCACTATGTTTGGTAACCTGTCATTGAAGTTCTTGATTGGCAAGCATATGAACTTGGCTAACTTGTCTATTTGCCCACACTTTTTGCTGACTATCAATCAGCCTTTGCAATTGCCTTTCTTTGTGTATCTTTATTAATCCGTACGTTGTGCTACTGTTTAGAAGAGAGTTGGTCAAAGGAATGATTTCACTTTTCTCTTTGAAGAGTTTTAGCTTGGTTCTGAATCTAGCAAGAATCACTGACGATGCCGACTCTGCTGCCGGCGAAACATTTTGGAATGTACCAAGTTCATGGTACAACGCTGGAAATTATGATAGCTACTGTAGCAGAGGACTTCGGATAATGTATATTTAACTAAGTAGCCCTGCAGCACAACCCATTTGCACAAACGAGGTCGAAAGAAGACTGCGATCAGAATAGAGGCCATAACATCTTCATCTCCAAATCTTTACAATAATTGGTTAAAAATGGGCATAATTAGTAAGTAGAATTAACTGCTAAACTGCAGAACTCGATTGTTTTATCAAGAATAACAAGTATTCGGGAGGTATTCAGTGATGATTCGTTCTGTCGAAACAATTGAGCAGCATCTCTTCATATTTTGACGTTAATTAACTCAGTGGATAAGCAAAATAATGCATTTTAGTGACAAAATACCAGCTTAGCTGAGCTATGAAGAAAAACTGGGTTTCGAAGAATTCCTTAGTGATACATTCTGACATGACTCTCGATTTCGAGGGGAAAGTTGGTTTGAATGACTTAGTGATGAGATATCACCGGAAACCGAAGGAGGATTGCCGCGTAGGATTGTGCGAAAAAGTCCTCGGCTCACGATCCTGCGACCACGAAGAAACTGTAATGAGCCTTCGTATTCTGCAAAAATGTGTAGAAAGGGGAGAACTGGAAATGTGGAAAATGGACGCACTTCTTCAGCAAAATTCTAAACCCCCGAATGTGTATGGTTTGCCCAAAATCCATATGCAAGGATTACTGTAAATAATAGAAGTAACGTGATGCATAGAACATCACGACTTGTGCGTATTCAGCCAAAGCAAATATGTGAAACTTGGGCGTTTTCAGTAAATAGCTCTTACGACTTTATTAAGTTACTTGATGAGGAGACGATAGAAAGGGGATATTTGCTGGTAGCATTCGATGTAGTGTCTATGTAAACTAACATTACGATAAACGAGGCAATGAAGGCGCAAGAATTACCTTTTCTTCAACACCCTGAAGTCATAAAAGTTAAACTTTAATGCAAGGATTAAATCATTAAATTAATTTATTTGGCAATGTATAATACATATTTTACCTTCAATGGTAGGTTGTATGAGCGGACACGGGGTTCGGCTATGGCATCTAGTTTAGCCCCTATTTTAGCTAACTACATGACCCAATTAGAAGTTGGCGTGTTTCAAGAGATATTCCCAGTTCCAAACTTGTTAGTTCGTTACATGGACTATTACTTTTCTGTTTGGCAGCAAGGAAGAGATGAGAATGTACCACGTCAACGATCCTACTCTGGAAAGGATGATGCATACAATGGACTGTGGAGCAGGTGTGTTTCTCTAAGTCGTCCTACCAATATGACCGAGTTGCGAAAACAAGGTCAAACAACTTCTATCCAAGGCAAAGATAGTTGGGGTGAATTGCTTGAGCTAATAAACAGAATAGATGCCATGGAGTTATAAAAGGATAATCAATTGCCTTTTGCCGATGCATTAGTGAGTGAGTTAGGTAGAGACGTATATAGGAAACCCACTCCAGCGGGTTTCCAAATTAGTTTCTTCTCAAACCACACATAAAACGTCAAAATAGAAGGTATGAAGTCTATGAAAATAGGGAGACTGCGTCTAAAAGATGTATACCGCATGGGCCAGGAGATTGGTAGATACTTACATATCAATCGTCGGGAAGAAGATGAGTGCAGCTTCTTATCTGCAGCCGGATAGACAATTGAACCATTCTACTCGTTTGCTCATTTTGCTCTCCTGTCAGTTTGAGGAATTGTTGGCTAATCTATTGAGTAAGTGAAAGATCAAAACAATGTATCAAGATTAATTAACCCTTTCTTCAGTAGTTCCTACGTTGAGTTACTTTCAGAACCTCTTTCTAGATCAGGCTGATGCAAGGTTTTGTGCTTATTTGCTAAGGTCCATGTGGGGGAGACTTGCCAAAACAAGAGCGTTTGAAAAGGTCTATGGGCCAAAAAATGTGTGCTCACTGAACACATGGCGAATGCAGGACTGGTCCAAAGCACAACTTTTTACGGGTTGCGGGGACTTTATATCAAAGCGTAGGATTAGCTAGTCTATAGTCTAGCTATGACTTTCTCACTTCCCATGACATGGACATTACACACACACACACACACACATACATACAAGCACACACAAAATAGACAATAGCACAAGCTGAAATATGATTCAACCTTTGAGGATCGTACAGTAGTTTATTTCTGTCTCAGGCAGCAGTTGCCATCGAATGCACTCCCGGTTCAGGAAGTAACTTTACTCATCTGCAAGTATGTAGAGTAAGGTTGTAGTAGCCAACCAATTCATGGGATGCCTCATTAAGAACGCGACGTTGGGCGTAGAAAAACGCGAATAGTATCGCAGCAGGCCACCTTGTCTCCTGGTTTAGTCTATTTTTGCTCGATTTCATAACGAATGGATTCTTGCTTCGATGATGTCCGTCAGGGTGGTACAGACGAAAGCTTAGCACCGTTACATCGGGGTCGCAGGACGGTGAGCCGAGGCCGTCTTCGCACAATCCTTCGGTTTCCGATGAGGCCACATCACGAATTTCTTCCAGCCAAATTTCCCTTTGAAATGGAGGGTCGTACGACAATACCATCTAATCTGCCACCCTGCCAGGATAATTGTTTATTACATTAGCGTTGTTCACCCTGAAATGTAGTCAGCGAAGAATTGAATTCGCTTCTAAAGCTATGAATATCAACTTACTCTACAAAATTGTATTAGATTCTCCCTAAAAGCGGCCTGCTAATTGAGTTAAAGCAAAGTAATTATGATTTGCCAAAGAAATAATCTAACGCAGTCGTTGCAGAATGCACATGGATCTTGGCTTCAATCAAAACCTGAAAACTAATGGTTGCCCACAGATATTTGGTGTTATTTATGACTCATTCATCATTA